GCCTGAACAGTTGGGGCTAGGATATCTGTAATTTAGGAGTGAGCTATTCAGCCTGCTGGCAGTATAAGAATCTGTACACACCCACTGTCTGCAGGTGGGCCCTCTCTGCACAGGCATCCACAGCAAGGCTTATATCTTCCCATACAGAGGTACAGATGTCTGCTTCCCAAAGCAGCAATAACTTGTCTCCTCTCTCCTAAGTTATGTTGTTTTTTCAGGGTCTCCTCTGAAGTAGTTTTGGCTCTTTCTAAACTCTCCCACATTTCCACAGGCCACACACTTGTGCACTTTTGCTCTGTGAAGATAGTTTTGAAGATCTTTGCCAGGAGGTTTTGCCAGTTTTAACTTGCCAGTTCAACTCCCTTGAATTCAAAGGAATTATGCCAATTGCCACCTAAGGATTTATCTCATGATAGTCTACCAACATGAGGATTTTGGATTTTGCTCAGGATCTCAAACCATTTCCTGTAGTAGTAAAAGTCCTTGGTGCTTTGATGTATGAATTAAGAGAAGATATATTCTTAATTTTGCTTATTTATGTAGCGAGGGGAACCATGGCAGAGCTTATCTGTACGTTTCAAAAGTATTACATTTTTTTTACATAGTTCAGGGTAAATCTTATGGACAAGAAAGAACATTCTTCAATTAGGGAATGATTCATCACTCCATATCACCACCTGATTCTGATTTTACTTGTCATTTACTGACATAATGCACTGTTGGTTTATAGTGCTACAGCCAAGAAGAGAATGAGGCCCAAAATTTGTATCCATCTACAACCACATATTAATTTGCATGCTAAAAAACTTGGTGAATATTTGCATAATATGTGCATACATATACATGTCTACGCAATGTTTAGGGAGTCTAGTTTTATACCTTATTTTAATAGTCTACCTGCTTTGTACAAGTTATTTTGTTTCATAGCATAAGCTTTCTGGACCTTTTGTTGGGAAGACTGGTGTATAAAAGCCTTTATAAAACACATACCAAATAATTTTTGGTTGTTTATTTATGGATGAATAGATATAATAAATAAATATGAAATGGTTTTTGTCATTTTTATAAGCTGAAATTTTCACAAGTCAGAACAGGAAACCTCTGGTTTAGTCAGAGGCAGTTCCCAGGAAGTGTAGAAATGTACTTTAGACTGTGTAGGTTACTCATGTAACTTCGGTCTCCTATCTAACATTAGGGTAACACTTACCTGCTGCATCCCATTTGTGTGGTTTAATTAATTAGCTGGGGATGGTTGAACCCTCATCTGCTGTGGGTGCAGGGAGAGACAGAGCCAGAGCCTCCCAGCTAGGTCACATTATGGTTGCCTGGATTGTGGTTCTAGGCACAGGGAGAAAAGCAAAAGTTAGGGCCCTGATGTGAGTGGATGGGAAGGAATAAGGATGCCATTGTCCAGATGTGCAGAGCAGAGAAGGGAGAGGAAGACTGCTCCATCCCTACAAAGAATTTGGGCTCTGATTCAGTAGTTCATCCAAAGGCTAAGGAAGGGGTCCCATTGACTTCAGTAGGCTTTGAATTCAACTCAGGCTGTATCAGTAAATTTATGCCTCCCATCCATGCCACCACATAACTGAGTAGTCCTGGGAGAAGGAGTGTCATTGAAAGGCATGACAACTCCTGGGGCTCCTTCTCAGGCAATGCATGGCCATGCCAGGACTTATTTAGAACTGTGACTGAGGGTATAATCCAGCCTCAAGCATTTGCACAATGATGTGAACATTCAAGTACTAATTAAAAGATACTCTGCTGTTCAGTATGTACCTCCAACATGTACTTACATTTGTGAACTTTAAAATAAAGTGGGTTAGAGTTGGGGGCAAGGAGCAACACGTTATTAGCAAATATGTTATCTATGAAACAAAAAGAAAAGCTGTAAAATGTAATAGTTTAAAAGTTAAGGACCTGCACAGCAGTGGAAGCTGGACTGTGCCTTAATTTATTGCAAATGAAGAGTTAAGAAAAAATTGCAAAGGGATGCTAATAGAAAAGACTTCAATGGAAGTGAATGGGAGTTTTGCTGTTGACTTCAGGCACTACGAAGTTCACACACGAGCAGTGAGCACCTACACAGCTGCATGCAGCATTTGAAGAGCACTCGAGAGGAACATTTCTGATGACAAAATACTCATGCCTTCAGAGAGAAGTAGTATGCAGATCACAGACATTTTGTCTGTTCTTTCAAGGATGGCAGCTACTGCTATACCAAGTAAGCAATTCTGACCTGCGTGCTTCTGCAGAGCTCTAAAGTGATGCAGAATGCGTTAGATAACATTTCACTAAACAGCAGTTGTCAGGAACTTTAAAAAGTAATTGGAGCAAGAAAACAAATATGGAAATTGTAAGGTCTCCACTGGGCACAGACCTGAATTGACATGGTTAGTGTTCAACAAAGAAGTGCCTTTTTTTTTTAAGGTATTTCTGCAAGCTAGCAAATCTAGTAGTCTGAAGAATGCTAAAGGAAATGGGGGAAGGAAAAAAAGGATTAAAAGCCAAAATCTGACCTCAGATGCATACTTTCTAAGGTTAGTGAAATTTGTGGGTAACCTACAAACCATATGAAAACAGTCTTATGACATTTTCAAAATTAGGTTAAGACTAAAGGAAGTCATGTTCACCACACTTCACATCACCACTCCCACCTACAGCATTATGGTTTTGCAAACTCTCCTGCCTCAGAAGACCCTTCTTCCTAGTTCTCTTCTTTCAAACAAAACCTTTGCCTTGCTCTTCTCTACAGAGTCCTTGGTCCAACCACCTTTCTCCTCAGACTGCTGGAGTCTCTCTGATTCACAGACCCAAACCACATGCTGGAATTTTGCAATTAGTTCTCTCTCTCATAGGCCAAACTGGAATTCTTGTCAGGTTGGTGTGGGTTTAATTAATGTTGCAGTTCAGACCCAGCCTATCACTGAGATAGGAGTTGAATTGTGAGCAAAACTGCATTAGCAAGGGCTTTTAGCCTGATTAAACAGTTCTGGCTTTGATGCAATCTTAACTGTTTTTAGGTTCCCCTACTTCTGTACTCCAACTCCATTTTGCTCCAGCAGTTTCACCCTGCTGTAACTTAACTGAAGACTCAGGAAAGGTTTGTCAGCACAGCGGTCTGTGGTTTGTTTCAGGAAGAGCTAGTGCTGGGCTTCAGGCAGGCGCTTTTAATGGAACTATGCAGATGATACCAGCAATGGATCTGGCATACTTACCCCAGGAGCTATATGGCTGTAGAACCTCTTTAGTGTGCAGTGACAAGCTCCAACATCAGTAGGGCTACAGCTCTACAGCATTGCCTCTGCTATCTATGTTTGGTAGTAGACATATCTCATGTCACAGAACCACAGAATATCAGGGTGTATGTAGATGAAAGAGGGCCCTAAATTGAAGCAATTGGTTTTTAAAAACACCGTTTCAATTTAGGGCCAATTAAACACCCATGTCATGCACACACCTGACTTACCTGCTTCTCCAGTGGCGGGGAGGAAAGGGTGAGACACCAGCGGGCAGAGCGGTCCCTGGGCTGGGGAGGGGAGAAGCTGGTGCTTCCCTCTGCAGCAACTGCAGCCCCCTCCCCAGCGGCACCCGCCCACAGGTGCCAGGCTCGGGTGGTCCTGGGAGGCACTGCAGCCATGGAGGGAAGTACCGGAGCCCCTACAGAGTTCAGGCAGGCTCCGGGGGGCGGGGATCAGGCTTGCTGCTTTTCTTGGGCAGAGACTGCCTTCCCAGGCTGCTGCCAGGCTGTCTGCAGGGCTTCCTGCAGAGCCTCTGAGCTGCATGGAGCCTGGTGCTTCACTCCGTGGCTGGTAGGGCAGCAAACTAAAGTGCCTCAGAGTTTTAGTGTGCTAAGCCCCAAGTCATTTAAGGTGCATTATGCTGTCAAATTTGCTACAGCGGCTGTAATTAATGCTCAATACGCCGGCATGCAAACACCGACACCATTAAAGCTGTGCAAAAGCATAAGTGCTGTGCATACATGCCCGTTGATTTGTCTACACATAGCCATAGAAAATTAGGCTTGGAGGGGACCTCAGGAGGTCATCCAGCCCAACCTCCTGTTCAAGCAGGACCATCCCCAACTAGATCATCCCAGCCAAAATTTTGTCTTAAGAACCTCCAAGGGTAGAGATTCCACCACCTCTCTGGGTAACCTGTTCCAGTGTTTCACTACCTGCCTACTGAGAAAATTTTTCCTAATATCTAACCTAAACTTCCCTTGCTGCAACTTCAGCTCTTTGTTCTGTCATCTGCCACCACTGAAAACAGTCCAGCTCCATCCTCTTTCACACCACTATTCAGGTAGTTGAAGGCTGCTATTAAATCCACTCAGTCTCCTCTTCTCTGAACTAAATAAGCCCAGTTCCCTTAGTCTTTCCTCACAAGTCATGTCGCTCAGTCCCCAAACCATTTTGGTTGCCATCCACTGGACTCTCTCCAATTTGTCTACATCCTTTCTGTAGTGGGGGGCCCAAAACTGAACACAGTACTCCAGATGGAGTGGCCTCATCAGTGTTGAACAGAGGGGAATAATCACTTTGAAGCATCACACATTTCTACAGTTGAAATATGATACAAGGAGACAAGATGAGGTCTTAGAAATCTTCATCAAGCTTCTGATTGTAAATAACAAAAAAGAGTCTCCAGAAATATAAACTGTTGCCAGGAATAAATATAAAGATAAGGCCTAAATAAGTTTTGAGTATTTTCTAAGTAATTTCCCTCTGTGCATGGTAGGCAATGATATTTAAATGACTTGTGCCTCCTTGCACATTGCAAGGTGAGAAATCAGTACACTATCTAGTAGCATTTACTTTATAATAGCTCATTCAAATAATCACACTTCCTTGTGGGGCATCAGTTATCACCACTGTCAAAACAAAAGGTTTTTTTAGTAAAGGGACTGATTTTGCAGAATATTTAAAAATAAAAGTTTAAATGGAAGGAGAGTTTTCCAGAAACCTATTTGCTTTCAATGAACTGTAAACATCTTCATATGTTTTTATTAACACATACAAAATGATGAGGGTATACAAATTGTGTTGCCTTTATGGAAACAGTGAAAAACTAAATAACTGGAATTACAATGTTTGTTTACATCACATTTTGTTTCAAACAGACCCTTAAAAATTAAGCAAGCACATTTTATCAGAAAAAGCAGTAATAAAAAAGGTTGAAATAATAGCTCACAAGTCATTGGGTTGTAACACCAAAAGACCAGGGACTTATGTACCATTAAAGACTGCACTTTTGTTTTTTAAGCAAAAATCTCCATTGATATTAATTCCTGCTTAAACAGCAATGGTGCAATTTGGCCCCAGGCTTATAAACATTTTTTTCTAACAGCTTTAAACATGTTGTTTTAGTGATTATTATAATTTGACATAAACCTACTGTAAATATAAAATAAGATTACTTTACACTGTATAAAGCCCATTCCTAATGAACACAAACATATTGGTAGGCTTTCACACACACACATACACGCACACATGCGCGCAAATGAAATTTGGAAAAGAATTAGTGAAATATTTAGAATGCTTTAGTCACCTTTATACAATATGAAATGGTTACAATACTGTAGTGTTCTTTAGAATAAGTTAAACATCAAGACATAAGCCAACAGCTTTGGACTATTCTTTCTACAAACTAAATCCAAAAATTCAGTCTAATCTTATTTGATCACAAAAATGGATGAAGACTATGATCCAGTTACACTGGAAACCCAGCCTAGTTCTAGAAACCACAGATACTCTAAGCACTTTGGTATAATATGTACAAATTGTGCTGCCAGTATTATGCCTGTGAACTGAAACCAACCAACTTGACTCAAAATGGAGAAATGTACTAAATTTAAAAAAACTGGTTTTGTAAACCCTGCCTTAGCATTTCTTCCTGCTATTTGGACATTTTGTCCAACACACTGTTGCACCAGAAATACACACGCAGGACTGGTATGACAAACTACAAATTAAATATTATCAAAAAAGTGTATTAAGTACAATGCAAGACCAGTTTTTTTTTAAGTGCATAGAACATAATGCAGAATACTGTTAATTACAGTGACAAATACAAAGATATTCAACATTTTAATAGATATCAAGCAATGTTCTAATATCAAAAGAGTGTGTGAATTGGAATAAATGTATTCTTTTACAAAAATTAAAGATAATGTTTTTTTTTTCCCAAAGAGAAAAAAAAAATCAAATTATGAGAGACTGTTCTTTTACACAGTTTAGTCCTCCATATCTTCTATAGGCTTGAAGTCATACCTTTAACATTTGGATTTCTTTTTGCAAAACTTTATTTTTCCTGAAAGCTGAGCTCAAAAAAAGTGCATTACTTTTTTTTTTATATACTTCCTGGATGCATTTGCTGTGGTTCAAAAACCGAAGGCAAAACACGGCTAGCTTTCTTTCACACTGAAGAGCTCTCAGATTTTAATCAGATGATCCTCTGAAAGGAATGGTTCTTGCTCCAAATCAAGATTTAATCTACTCTAAGAGGGCTAGAATTCTGCATTTTGTATTCAAGTAAATTCCAATTGAAATCAATGACTGCAGGATTTGTTGAGAATTCTCATCTTGTGCTAAGTTTTCCAAAATCCATATGATAGCTTTTGGTATTCAGGATTAAGCAAGGTGAAAAATACCACATTTATTTAATACTGTAAGTCAGCCTCAGACAATGGTTTTAGGAATGAAATGACAGTTCCTAAATCCCCAGCTTGACCAAAGCACACACTGACTGAGGTCAGTCTTCACTGACTCCCTAAAATACTCTTCTCATTTACCATGTAAACACAACAGAATACAATGGAATGGAGGTAACTTATTTCAGCATCACATCGTTAGTAACACTCTGCAATACTAGCTAGTGGTGCCATGTTCTCCCCATTCCAATATTGCTTTCTTCCTTAAATAAGTTTTTGCTGTTATTTAATGTTAAACCAAATAACTGCTTAAAAACAATGTTGCCAAATTTTGCTCAGTGAAGCTGATGGAAAGCACCCGTGTATGAGCAGAATTTGACGTTGTGTGTTAAATGGTCTTGGTGTCAAGTGAATTAAAAATATCATTGTAACACTTTCTTGTCTGAAATGATTAATGTTTAGCGGAAGTAAATTCAGATTAGAAGGATGTTAGTGTAGGCTACTTGGTGACCTGGCCAGACTTTTGTGTAGGTTAGGGTTCTGACTATGCCTGTTTCGACTGCGAACAGATGAAAACATTGTGTTGCAACCTGGTACTTTACATTTGTGAAGTTGGCGGAGGTGCACAGTTTTGTAATGGGCCCTGAAGGTTCCTTTATTACTGTACAATTTTTGGCATATATGACAAGTTATTGGTAGACTGGAAGGTAAATTAATAAAGGTTTGATTAGCCTTTTCCAGTAAGGAACAGTCCTGATAAAGCTCATCATTGGGCATTAGACTTGGTCCTTCACAGCTTTCATCACTATCATCCAATGGCATGGTACATACTTCGCTTCCTCCATCAGAATCCCAAGATGAGTGTGCGCTGCTCTCAGACTTAATGCTGGAAGCAGTGCTTAAATCCAGAACAGCTCCATCATTCACTGGATCATATCCATAACTCTCAGAACATGATTCTCTAGTTTTGCTCATTGGAAAAACCAAGCTGCCTGTTCTGTTCATTCCTTTGAAGATGACAGAAGTTTGTCCAACATGTTTTAAAGACGCATCTTGACAAACCTCTTTAGCCATGTCTTTCAAGAGGTATGCTGCATTGAAATGGTTGTTGTTGAATTCCAGTGCATCTTTGGTCAGAAGCTTATGATGAAGATTTAGGTTTGAACTATGTCTAGAAGAACAAAGAGAAGCTTATGAAAAAGATTTTTTTTGCATCAACACTTAGGAGCTGTTTCAAAATGAAGAAAGAATAACCAATATTTGGTAGCATGCATGAGATGTATACTTATGCTTTAAGCAAACACCACTTTCAGCAATGCAAAAGTGTACACAGAAGATGATGCATACATGTGTATGGATATCTGGCCTGGCAGAAACTCACTTGTATCAGCATGACTCAGGATGGATACCAATGGCCCAGATTCTCTCCTGTGGTATGGCAGCTCTGTACTTCATTAAGATGCTGGACCTAAAGCTTGGCCTTACAGGGCTGGGGAACAGACTGTACCCCTTTCCATCTGGAGTGAGAGAGAGCTGAAAGTGGGCTGGGTGAAAGCCCAACAATAAACTGAAAAGCTAGCTCCCACCAAGATAAAGGAACAAGATTTAGCTTGGACATGCTAACGACAGACAACTGACTACTATAAACTTGTGCTATCCTGCAGCTGCATACACCAGTGTGGTACATCTCCCTGAAGGGCATATATCTGCACTCAAAATAGAACATTTGGCTGTACTTACACAGTATGCAATTTTCCAAACGAGTATAATTTTGCTCAATCTCAACTTAATTTCTTAAACATAGGAAGTCAGTGCTCCTTTCTGTGGGCTAGCTACAATTCTACTATAAACTTCGAGACCGTGGCCATTTCTTATATAAGGAGAAGCAGGTGGTTAGGATCTTTTACTTTTTTTAATAACAGGAAATGTACTTTTTTCTCCTCCTCTCCATCACTCAGATGAAAAATGGTTGAAAGGATGTCTTCCAGACATAAGGAGAAAATATTACTTGATACGCACTGGGTGCGTCTACATGTTCATTAATGCGCAGTAGGTACTGTGCATTTAGTTTAGTACTTGCTCAATCAAGTGCTAACTAAATGCACAGTAACTACAGTTGCTGTGCAGTAGCACCAGCGAACTTTTTTTTACTGATGCTTACTGCGCAATAGCCTAATACTACCGCACAGGAGTATATTAGCATGGTTTTTGTATGGCACGCTATGCGCAGTGTTATTAGGCTACTGTGCATGAAGCGTCTTGTGCTGAAGCACCCACTGTGCACAGAAAGTTCCTTCCAAAGAGACTGCATGGTCAGAAGGTCACTAGCACATGCAAACACAGTTACAGATGAAAACACGTTGTTCTTAGGACTAAAGCATTCCCTGCGCAGGTGTAGAACTCCCTGCAGACTGTTCTATGCATAGTTCAGGAGTTTTCCTGTGGAATGGTTCTATGCTTCTCTTTTTAAAATAGGTATTTATTGGGGATGGTGGTATCATAATTCAAGTTAAAACCTAAAAGAGTGAACTGGTCTGGGAAAGAATTTAGAGCCTGTATTTGAACAGCCCGGATTAGGCTTCACTGATATCTTAGTCACAACAACAGTGGAAAAGAATTCACCTCTGGGAAAAGACAAGCAGAAGATCAGGGTTTTCATTGATCAACCTGTGCATCTCAGTTGTAAAACCACACTGTTCCAAATGTCCCCATCATCTTCTTGGACTGCACTGACTGGCTCTAGGCCTTCCAACAGAATATAAGTTATCTGTGACTTGAGTCACTGGCCCCCTCTACATGTTACAGGTATTGCACAATTAACTAGTTAATTGCAGAATTACCTGGAGACCAGCTACACATGCAAAGCAGCTATCACACAATGAAAACTCCAATCAGCTATAAAGTTAGACCTCAAAAACGTGTACTAACTTTATAGCTGCTTGTTATTGAGCTTTAATTTGTATATGGAGCAGGGTCGTCTTTGAGGTTGGGAATCCTGTCAGCTGACAGGGCTCCCAGCTGCAGGGGTGCACCATGCCCACGTAAACCCCCCAAGCCCTAGGGATCCCCGAACCCATGATCCCCAGGGTTCAGGGGTTCCCCACACCTCTGAGCCCTGGGGATCGCAGGAGTCACAATCCCCAGGGATCAGAGGTACAGGAAACCCCTGGAACCTGGGGATTGCAGCTCCCATTATTCCCAGGGCTCCAGGGTGCAGGAAACCCCTGGGGCCACCATGATCCTCTGGCCCCAGGGGTTTCCCACACCCCCAGATCATAGGGATCACCCCTCTGGCAATCCTCCAGTGAATGAGGCACCCCTGCAGCTGGGAGTCCCTCAACTGGCTCCCCCTACACCTGCAATAAAATGCAATGAGATCTAATGTGTGATCCCACAGTTGTGACTCCTGCTGTGCATGTGTAGCATATCAGGAGAGGCAACTGTGTGAATTGTGCATTAAATCCCACTGCACCTTTAGCTTCACATGTAGAGTAAGGCACTATGAATAACACCCAGGCAGATTTTCTGCTTTCTGAAACTCTAAGTTACAGTGGTATTACAAAGTGGAACCGAGGCACATCAACTTTAGCAATGTTATCACAGACTATCTCAGAGTAAAAGATACGAAGTGAGGGTTTTGACAGTGAAGTAGAACACAGAGAGCATTTTCCTATTCCAGTGATTCTCACCCAACGTGCCAGGGTATGGTCCTTTGAAGGGTGCCCTGAGGTGTGAGGAGATAGGTGGTCAGCTAATCAGGTAAGTACAGGCTTAGGTTTGTCTCTGCCTGGATAATCTCCCCACTCCCACTGCCCTATACATCTGCAAGGAAGTAAGCACTAAAATATATATACAAATTAGTTTTTGAAATTGGGTGCCACTCAATTCACAAAAGTTATGGAAGGTGCCTCAAGTCCAATGAGATGTGCTTTGAGTTCAAAAAGGTTGAGAATCACTATTCTATTCCTATGTCTCTGATAACTCATGCATAGTGGGCTTGAGGTCAATAAATTTGCAGGTACATACAACTGGAGTAGAAGAGAATGAATCAGACCCATGTTATTTTATTACTTGGGAATTATTACATGATCTTCTCATTATAAAGAAGGGGTGGGCAAAATATCGTTCATGGGCTAGTTTTGGCCCACTGAGGGATTTTATCCGGCCTGTAGTGGGTACTTCAGCTAGTCCTACCACCCCTGGGCATGCGATGGGTTGGGGGCAGCACAGCTGCTAGACTCTGCTTCTTGGCAGCCTTAACAACAGTGACTCCTTCTGGCTGCCACTGCTAGTGTTGCTGCCACTGCTAGACCTGGCCCTGCTGCCCGGGCACCCCAGCCTGTTTGCTATGCACCCACCACTGCAGGTACCAGATGGAGCGGACAGGCAGGGTCTCTTCGGAGACTAGCTGGGACCCCCGCAGTCAAGGCATGCTTGGCTGGGTGGATGGGATAGTGCTGTGAGCAGGTAGGGAGCAGCCTCTGGGAGTGGGACAGGTGGGTGGGGGCCAGGGGCACTGCTGGGATCATGGGGTGGTGACAGTACAGGGCCAGGACCTGGGGCAGAGCTGCAATCTGCTCCCCACATGCCCCTGCTGGATAGGACCAATGGTTCCCCCTGCTCCCCGCCATCCCTGCAGTGGGCTGGGTTAGCACCCCCTCCCCCAACCTAAAACAGCTCACCTTCCAGCCAAAATAATTGCGCACCCCTGTTATAGATGGTGTCATAATGTGCAACACAAAGGATGACGTTGGCTGGTCAATACTGGCATTATAAAGGGCAATGCTGACTTCGTATCAGCACAGGAAAATCTTGCCGTCCTTACCCTGTCCATCCCTCCCATCTCATCATTCAAAATCCTAGTGACTTGTTTTGCCTGAGTGAAGGCAAAACAGAGTGAAAGGCAAGTGAAGATTTTATGATTTGGCCTCTAAGTTTTTACATTTTAAAGTACAGTAATATCCACAGGAAAGAATATATTGAAACACATGATGGCACATATGCAAATGCTGAAAACTTGTTAAATTCACACCCTTGTGGCTTTTCTTTGTATTTTAAAGGATTCTTTCAACCTTTGCTGTCTTTATCAGTTATGAAATGTTCATGGCTTTATTTAATACTTTGTAGTCTAGTGGGAAGGAAATTTTTCTTTCATTTTCATTTTATGAATGCACTGATAAGTTATTGTACCTGTTATGGGAGGTTACATAGAAAAATCTTGGCATCTCCATTCTTCAAAATACTTATTGAAATTTCAAATTAGGCTCCATTGTGATGGTAAAATAAATACAATTTTGTTTATTATTTCCTTACCTGTCTCGACTTCTACGAGAAGGGAAAGCAGCATTACAGCCCTCAACTGTGCAAATATGCATTTCTTTCAGATGTACATTTTTAAAATGCATTTTTACACTGTAAGGGTTTTTAAATGTCTTCTTACAGATGTCACAATGAAAGCGGCTTTCTTCCTTCTGAATCCCTATTTCATGTTGACTGACATGATCCATATCTTTATAGTCTTCAAAACAAGGAAGGGCAGCACCCCCATGGGACAACGTGCTGAAAAAGCCCCCCATCAGCAAATGGTGTTGCAACTCAGGGTAGTTGTTTTTAGAAATCCTGGGCTTTGACTGCTCTTTAAAAGAGACAGGGGGTTCAGTCACTGTTTTTTTAACATCACTGTAGTGTTGGTTTGGATCTTCACACACAATTTCATGGGAAACTATTTTTAATGCTTGGTTTTCTTCTGGCTTAACCTCTCTCTCAAAGTGATGCATTTCATTTTCAGAGGTTTCCTTGATGTATTTGTTATTTGGCTCAATGACAGATTCAAAATATTTTGGGCCCTCTACCCCAGAGAGAGATTTCCATGAATTACCTGAATGAGGGTGCTTTTCCATGCGTTTGCTCACCCGCTTGTCTATCCTATGCTCACAGGCCTCCAGCTCTCCATCACTTGCCACCTGTAGATGCATATCATCTTCAGAGCTGGCAATGTCACTGTTTTCATTAGCTGTCTCAACAGTTTCTTTCTCTATTTTGATAGGCATACTTGATTTACGGGATTTCTTCTTGGGTAGTGCATCGAATGGCAGTTCATTAGAAACAAGTTGCTCAGGTATTGATGAAGAAACAAGAGGTAAAGAAGGAAGAGTACCTGGTGTATTAGCAAGTTCAGCTGGGGTGACGGGACTGCGATAAAAAGGAAGAACTGGCTGTACTGTCTTTAAGTTTGGAAAGAGAACACCATTCTGCCCAATGCTGGGAAAACTGGATTGCACCTTTGAATCTGTACAAGAGCTGGCATAACTAGTAATTGGTCGGCTTTCTGGGGTTAAAATGGAAAAGTCTGTCCTTTTACTATCTCCTGGTCCAGCAATGGTCAGTCCATTTCTCAGATCTTTATCTCTGTTATTTCTGTTCATTGGCATATGGAGTCTTGGATTGGGGTTTGCGCTATGACGATTTCGACTACGCAAAGAGCTAAACACCATATTGCAGCCTTCAATTGTGCATTTATGCTTGATCTTCAGATGAACAGCATTATAGTGTATCTTCAGTGTTCCTTTGTCATAAAATGTTTTTTCACATGCAGTACAGAAGACACGTCCTTTCCTTGGGCCAATGGCATTTTTTTCAGATTTTATTTTATTTTCTGGGGATAACGGTGTCATGTCAAGCTTTGTTACTGTGTTATAGGAGCTAGAATCACTTAGAGGAGCATCCTCTTCTGTTTTAAGAGTGACATCTGGGCTGTTGGTGCCCTTCTCATTTTCAGCTTCAAATGGAGCAGAACCGGAACTTAAGAAGCTGCTTTCAGAAAATGGTATTTGAGGATCTTGTTTAGTTTCCTTGCTGCGGTCTTGACCTTGCTCAATCAAATGTCTTTCTGGCGGTGAACCTATCAAAGGTGGAGGCACTGGACTGAAAAACTGAAAGGGTAACATGAAAGCCATATTATTTACAATGTTCTCAAAGGGATGAATATTGGTGGGACTCATTTTGTCCAAGGAAGCAGAAAGATTAGGATTTCTTGGATTGCAACTTTCTATAAATGCTCTAATATCCAAATTAGTCGTAGGGGTTGGTACTATAATTGACTGCCCTTCTTTCTCTTGAATGGCCATTAACTCTACAATGGATTTTGTTTCTCCAAAACGAAGAAACTGCTGCAAAGTAGCCAGTTCTTCTTCACTGGTCATTATGCTCCAGTGATCTAGCACTTTTCCTGAAGCATCCTAAAAGAGAACACATTTAAAAGAATAATACATTAATTTAAACAGATTATAGAGTCTTTTCTCAGAGCTAAGAAATTCATCTCTAACGAGTCTATAAAATTACTCTACTTAAAGATAGTGTGATGGCAATTTTATGATATTTTCTTTCAGATTTCAACACACTGGTGATATTATTTCTTTCTGAACTTGTAATGCTACTTTCTAATAAACTACTTTTTATTTTTTTTCCACAAAAATTAAGACACATGTCATTTGAGCAGTTAGCAACGTGTAAGTACAAATAGCAGAGATGGAGCAATCAGACCAAAATTTAGCCCCTCATTTAAGTCAAGTATTCTTTCATTGCAAGTTTAATAATCTTCCAAGCAACTAAGATCAGAGAACAAATGAACCTGTATTGATCTATTGCCAGTGTTCACAGAGCACAGCTGTAATTACACTAGAGTGTTGGAGTTCTTTCAAACTCTAGCTATGCCTAACTTTTCCCAATAACTATAATAAATATTTTATCACAGAACATGTATTTGATGGCCTACTGAGATTTTTCACAGTGCATGTAAGAGTTTCTAAGATGATGAAGAATGTAACATCATAAATTTTTCATGTGGTAGAGGTTCAAGGTAATTGATTCCATATTTTTAATCCTAACACTAAAAAGCAAGATTATCAAGACCATTAAATATTGATTTGTGTCATAATGTAAGATCATAATGTTACTTTACATAAAAGGTAATTTCCAGACAGTAGGAAGGACTAGCATCTATGTAAGCACGTAGGGGCAAATTCACCCTTGGTGTAGCTCCAGTTAAATCTGGAGAGTTACATCAGAGGTGAATGTAGTCTGTGGTGTTTAAATGTCGACAAGTTGATTTGTAAATGTATTTATCCTACTGTACAAAATAAAACCTACTTGTTAAACAACACTTTCAGCAAATTCTGAAACTTTTGCTTAGATGGGTTCCTATTAACTTCTTTATCATGGTTGACTTCAGTTAGATATTTGTGTGATGGATTTGAGTATAAAATAACAACCAAGTAAGGACACCCCCCCCCCATACACACACATGACCTGACCTTGCAATTACCACATTAAACTTGTACAAGTCTGCTATTGACTTTAGACCATATTATGGCATCAACTTTTCAAACAGAATACCCTTCTCAATTCAGTTAGAAATACGCGGCACAATATGGTCCATCGATACCAAGATTAAGTTACCAAACATTTAAAAAGATTAATTTTGTTCATCTTTCCTCCCTTTTTAAATATTGACTTAGCTTTCAGTACAATACCTGGAGTACATATCCACGTATATAATCCTGAAGTGTCCAGTCCAGTGCATGGAGAATCTGTATCACCTCTTCTTGCTTCAGGACACTGAAAAGCCGATCTAACAGAATTTTTAGGCGCACAGGAACAGCTTGGGTTCCATACAGCATAAGGCTACTGATATCAAAGACCACGTTGGATTGGACTATCTCTACCTGGGTAGTTGGGTAGAGGTTGGGGATCCTTAATTTGCTGAGGGCTGAAAACCAAAAGTGGAGAAAGCATTAGTGGCAAGGATCACACAAAATGGGGTGTGAAGTATATTGACAAGTAGGAACTTAGATATCAGGCTGAGGAGGACTATATGAGAACCTAAACAGAGTTACAAAAACAGTATTACCATGTGCTACCCATCCATGTCGGCACTGGTCACATTGTCTCTGGTTTATTTTTCCAGGTTTGAAGCACTGACAATTACAGTTCACCAGGGTGCATCGGATAGCCTGCAAATTAAGAAACAGGTTTATAGATAGCAATGAAGTAATATTTTGAAAGTGCACATTGTACATAAATAATTTAATAAAGGCTATAAAATACATATAGATAATGGATATAGATGGCACATATATATATATATATATATATAGTCAGCTAGACAGTCCATTCATAACCCAACCTGTACAAGTCAACAGGGTGGCCTCTATCATACGAACCTCTGTCACCTTCTAAAGCAGCAGAATATTATGGGCAGCAAAATATTCAGTAACACTTTTGTGGCTGGTTTCTGGCTGGCTGATTAGTGGCAACAGTGCTGCTAATGTTGCTCCTAGAAGCATATCAAATAAATAGCTCAGATGCATGCTTAAAATAAATTGTTCTTATGCAGTAGAAAATTATTTTCAGTTATGTTCATATTCATCTTGTCAGCCAGCTACAATATTTTCCAGCAGAGTTTGCAAAGAGAAACAAGTGCAGATAGATAAAAGTTCTAGTCCTTGAAGTTTGGAATAAGTTAAAGACATTCAGTGCCATCTATTGAATCTTACAAGCAGTGTTTTAGCTCTTCAGAGTATCATTAAATTCTATGGGTAAAAATAATCCTTGGAAGGGATTATTTGGTAGCATCCGCATGGGGGAAGTGAAAAGAGCGTGGGGCGGGTGGGAGGTGTACTTTACCAGAAGCATAGTCTACCAACACTTCTTTCTCCAGAGGAGCATTAAAACTGAAAATAAGAACTACAAATCCTCATTGCTACAGTAGTTAGGTTTTGTAACAGACATGTCAGCAGGTTAGAGATGAAAGAGGAAGTGCAGACAGATTAGCAACCTGTTGCATAGTTTAACATACACCACTTTGCTTTCACTGAGGTCATCTATAATGCAAATCCAAATTAGCATTCAGTTGCTCATAATCAACAGGGCAATGCAAATGTATTTCCAGGAATATATACTTTCTTCTGCACAGACCCATCTTCTCCAGGAAGCAAAACAGACAACTTGGAGGTCCTAGTTAAATCTCCACAGAGACTGTTACGGCGCATGGCATTTGTATGACTGAGTACTTCTTAGATCTGTTATATTCAACATACTAAGTGCAGCATGAATAATACTTGCACATAAATGGAATGTTAAGGATGAGAATGTGAAGGAATGAACGAACAGGAAATCTCTGCTGTCATATAAAATACTTTATAGCTGCTTGACTGAATCTGAAAATAACTGCCTCACTCTCTTTAAAACACCCTATATAATAATATAACACAATTGTGTTAAAACAATGAAGTGATGTTATCAGACTATGTCACCCCAATGTGTTCAAAATACATAATTCAGAGCTGAAGCCAAAAAAAAAAAAAGGGAATTTTCTACAGCTTTCATTAAGTATGTTCTAAATCAGAAAACAGAACAGGCTTCTCTCCAAACTAGAAAAATAACAATCGTACCTACAAAGGGTTATAGAAATATATTGTTGTTCCCTGTCTCACGCTTCAGTTCAGGTCTTTCTGTATGTGTACACATAATACCATGAAGATGCTTTCCCTGTTGTACTTCTCATCGAACTGGAATCCCATGGGATTCCATACCTGCCAAATTCACATGGATGGACAATAATTTTGAAACAATTTCAGCTCCACAGTTAAAATCCTTTTGGAATTTCTTTGTTTTACTTACAGAGCGTTCTTTTTTCTTCTTCGGGGGGGGGGGGGGGGGGATTTTTT